GTTTGATAAAAAGTTGGATGCCCTGAACGGATCTAACTCCGAGTCGCAACTTTGTATCGAAGAGTTCTTGGTCAAGAGCGAGCAACAGTGGTTCGACAGGTTCCGCAATGCCAGACTGGGTCGTACCAAATCTCCCACACCATCGATTCGACACTCATCAAGGAACACTGATACCCCAGACAATATGTTCTACAGTGACGATCTCGTCTCCAACATTAATAGCAACGAAGAAAATCATCTCCAGGATGATGAGTTCCTTCTCGGAAAGGACTATGTCCCTCCCAGTGGACTTAAGAAATGGATGCAGATCAAAATTGGAGACTGGCCGGTCTACTCCATTTTCCTCGCTCTAGGCCAGATCATCGCCGCAAACTCATACCAAATCACTCTACTCACCGGTGAAGTTGGCCAGACCGCGGATAAGTTGTATGGAATTGCAACGACATATGCCATTGCATCCATGTGCTGGTGGCTCGTGTACCGCTACTTCAAGTCTGTCGTTTGTCTTTCTACTCCGTGGTTCCTATATGCTTTTGCATTCCTCCTGATTGGATCTGCTCACTGGCAAGATGATTCCTTCAGTCGGGGATGGATCCAGAATGTCGGTACCGGTTTCTACGCCGCGGCCTCCGCTAGTGGATCTATCTTCTTCGCTTCAAACTTTGGTGATGAGGGAGGTGCTCCAGTTGAAACCTGGATTTTCCGCGCCTGTGTCATTCAAGGTATTCAGCAGGCATACGTTATTGCCCTCTGGTACTGGGGTTCGACAATGACCAAGGCTTCTTCAGAGGGTCTCTTGAGCGCTGAGTCAGGCATTGCCAATAGCTGGAAAATGAGGTGAATAGCCCCGTACACTGATCTCCTTCCTTACTTTACTAACATTACTCCAGTGCGATTTGTTATCCTATCACTGTCTTCCTGTGTTTCGTAGGCATTCTGTTGGCTTTGGGACTTCCCAACTACTACCGACAGAAGCCTGGCAAGGTGCCGTCCTTCTACAAGTCCCTTTTCCGGAGAAAGATCGTCGCTTGGAACTTCGTCGCGGTCATCCTGCAGAACTTCTTCCTGAGCGCACCATACGGTCGAAACTGGAGTTGTAAGTTCAATCTTCCCAATCGAACTCTGGCATACCGATCAGTACTAACATTCCTCTCTCCCAGTCCTATGGGGTTCCTCGCACGCCCACGCATGGCAGATCGTCATCCTCTGCATCGTCTTCTTCGGCGTTATCTGGTGTATATTCCTCTTCGTCGTTAGCAAATTCTCCAAACGACACAGTTGGTTCCTTCCCGTTTTCGCCTGCGGCCTGGGCGCACCCCGCTTCATCCAAATCTGGTGGGCCATCTCGGGCATCGGGTACTATCTCCCCTGGGCTGGGAGTTATACTTCCGGCGCGCTGGTCTCTCGCAGTCTCTGGCTATGGCTCGGCGTGTTGGATTCTATCCAAGGTCTTGGATTCGGTATCATCCTCCTACAGACTCTCACTCGAGTCCACATGTGTTTCGCTCTCATTGCATCTCAGGTGCTGGGTTCCATTGCGACTATCTGCGCCCGAGCTTTCGGACCGAACAGCGTAGGCCCCGGTCCAATTTCTCCTGACATGACTAAGGGCGCCCATTCCTTGGCTAATGGCTGGTTTTGGGTTGCTTTGTTCTGTCAGTTGTTGATCTGGTATGTTGCTCCTTGCTTGTCTCGTTCAGCGGAATTATTTCTAACATTTATCTGCAGTGCTGGGTTCTTGCTGTTCTTCCGCAAGGAACAACTCGCCAAACCATAAGCTCCCTTCATTTTTTTGGAGCATTTCTGTTTCTTGTCATACACCGGCTACGCCCATCACGATGAACATGAATGATCAAATTAATCTCTTCTGCATAATTGAAGCATGTTGTCCCCTTGTGATCTATTTTCTTTTTCTTTTTAGATATCTTAATGTTAATATTATTGTACTGAGTTCATACTCAGTTAGAATACATCAAGTCCTCGTAGTGAAATGACGTAAAGTCGTATATAGGTGTCTAACAATGCTGCTTTTTCTTTATCCTAGTCAATGACATGAATTTTCTCAAAGAGCACAAGACCATCCAAGGCTCAAATTGCTCGACTGAATCAGTCCTTGTTTTATTGGGCTTCCCTAATTAATGGGGTAGTTTGATGAAGCTTCAGATTCGTCTTTATACAGTTCAATTTGGAAATAAGCAACGTAGTCTCTATACTATTTCGTGAGCACAATGCTGTCTTCTCCTGACTTACAGGCTCAACCCCCCTTTCCAAAGTCCGAGAAAGCTCTTCCAATGAGCATTATTGTTAGCCGATCCCTGCCATACTGGACCATGAGAGTTGTCGACCCGAGATGTCAGTTCCATCACCAATCAGCGGTATACTTACCCGACCTCACATTCCCCACTAAGACCAGACTCGCATCTTGACTCTTAGACGCAGCTCAATGGAATTAGTGGATAGTTCCGGGCCAATCAACTCCAACCCCAGATCCGGGGTCAGAGAACAGTGCGGGGTTGAGGGCTGTTCAGCTCCCGTGACCAGTCCTGATATTGGTATTAATATCGTAGACCATGTAGGAGACTGAGCCCATTTCATTCAAAACCTATCCTGGAATTAATAAGCTTGTTGATCCGAACGCATTGAATTCATAATGTCCAAAACTCGAGACACAGAGAAGGACATTGATGGAGGTTGTATCCATTTGGAGTATTCAGATGATGGAATTGCACATCCAACCAAGGAAGAATATGCACGGTAAACCAACTTCCCAGTTTATCGGCGAATTTGTTGCTGAAACCTCCAAGAGTATATAGGAAAATCGACAGGCGGATCCTGCCGTTTGTGGCGTTGACCTATTTGTTATGCTACCTCGATCGGACTAATATCGGTGAGAAGGCGAATGCTTCCATTGGAATCGTTCAACAGTACTCTTACTTATGACTATACAAAGGAAATGCACGAGTCTTGAACAGTGGCACCGGCGACGATCTGATGACCTCTATTGACATGAACGACCACGAATATCGCATTGCCCTTATGCTATTTTTGGTGGCTTATTCTCTATTTGAGGCACCAAGCAACTTAGCAATGAAGAAATTCACTCCTCCGGTGTGAGACTTCGCACCCTGACGGTCAGATGGGTATATTTTTTGCTTTACTGACACTCATGACTAGCTGGCTGGCATTTCTTGTCATTTGTTTCGGCGCCCTGTGTGCAGGAATTGGAGGGTCAAAAAATGCTTCAACACTCATGGCTCTCCGATTTCTTTTAGGTGCATCCGAGGCTGGTGTTTACCCGGGAATGATCTTTTTTCTCAGCTTCTGGTACGGACCGCGTGAACGAGCCATCCGAATCGCTGTCTTTCTTTGCAGTGCCACGCTAGCAGGTGCTTTCGGGGGTATGATCATTCCGAACGCGATATGTCAATTTATGGATGCTAAAACTTGTTTTTATAGGTGCTATTGCCTACGGAGTAGCTCATATGAATGGTGCCGGAGGCTTACAAGCATGGCGGTGGCTTTTTATTATCGAAGGTTTACCATGTCTCGTCCTAGCAGTTGCCATTTTCTTTTTCCTGCCAAGCTACCCGGAAAAGGCCAATTGGCTCACTGCGGAAGATAAGGCCATCCTCAAAGCATCCTTTGGAAATAATGTGGCTCGAGGGTACATCACAAATCTACCCACAACAATAACTACCGAAGCTAATCTGATTCTTTCTACAGTGAGGACAAGCTCAACTGGGCTGATGCAAAGGCGACTCTCAAGGATCTTCGCCTCTGGGTTCACTATGTCCTTTATCTTTTTGTCGGAATAGGTGTTTCGTCCCTCTCATTATTTGCTCCGGCAATCGTTCAGGGAATTGGATACACTGGACTCCAGGCGCAGCTCTTCACCATCCCACCTTACGCATGCGCATATGTTGTGGCTCTCACAGCGGCATATATATCCGATAGAGTTGTATGCCGAGGGTTGATTGCTGCCCTGTTCGGGTTTATAGGATTTGTTACGTTTCTCATTCCCGGTGAGTTGTACTCCCATTCTCATACTGGTCATTGATTTCTGATTCTCAATATAGCCTGCGTCCCGAGCCCATCACTTCATCTTCGTTACGGTATGCTTGTGCTTAGTGCATGCTCTGCTTTCGGGTCGCTACCCCCACTATGTGCGTGGGTTTCGGACAATGTCCACAGCACTACTGCGGCATCGGTAGCAAGCGGGTTGAATATTGCATTTACTGGACCAGGCCAAATTATAGGGGTGTGGATCTACCAGAGTCAGCAGGCTCCTCAGTACCAGACGGGCCATGCTGTCAATGCCGCCAGTCAGTTCATGGCAATGGTGTTGGCACTGGGCCTATGGATCTATTACCGACGACAGAATGCAAAGCTTGCTCCGGGTGAGCAGAAGTGGGTTGCATAAGGTGAAATTGAGTGACTGCCAGTCCAAGAGGATTACGTACTGATGTCGGAAGATGTTCTACTCGACAGCAGATCACTATAAGAGATCATTACGCTCGAAGAGCAACATGGACATGAGCAAGTAAACAAAATTATATATGGAGAAAATGAATATCCCAAATTGTGATCGGTAGTTCAGCTGTTGTGTCAGAAAAAGAGAGCGGATTGTTTTTCTATTGGGCTTGCTATTCTAATGTCGATATATATCTCAATTGAAGAATGTTTATTTTTACTACGGAGTAATAAACCAACGAAAAATGTATATTCAAATAGATCAGTGGTAACCAGTGCCATTCTCAAACGAACAAAAACAAAAAAGAAGTCAGACTATCGAAGCTTTACCGTAAGAAATCGAGCGTTTACCTTGTTGATAGTTTTCGAAAGTCAAATTCTTATAAGACATCGTTCTATGTAGCTATATAGACAGTGCTCGGGCAAATTTCGCGGACATATTAGATTATTCATGTGTAAAGCGAGACAAGTTTTCAATATGCAAGTTAAACATAGTTAGATATCTAAGGCTATCGAATGAGTATCAAACATCAAAATTTTCCAGGGAGTCTCATTGCACCATCAAGTCTCAGACAGCATCCATTGAGCATCCGGTTCCTAAATATCTCCAAAACAAACCCGCCGAACTCTTCCGGTTTCCCCGCTCGCTTTGGCCATTCAAAGTGGTCCTCGATAGCCTTTCGTGCTCTTTCCGGCATCTTTCCTTGAGCGGTCATCGGAGTAGAGAACATGTTTGGCGCAATAGATACAGCTCGGATGCCGTATCGGGATAGGTCCCTCGCCAATGGCAATGTCAGAGACCGTATGGCTCCCTTGGTAGCCGCGTAAGCCACCTGGCCTTGCTGCCCATCGTACGCTGCAGCCGAAGATACCATAACAATCACACCTCTTTCGGACTCATCGTCGGGATCGATCGACTCGGGTAGTTGAGCCATGTGAGGAACGACTTGTCGGATGAGGTCGAGAGACCCGACAAGGTTCACGTTAATGGCTTGTTGTAACTTCGCAAGTTCCAGAGGCTCGAAGGAGGAATTCATAATCTACATCGCTTTAACACCGGAATCCTAAATCCGTGTATAGAATCTTGGTCCACGCACTTTTCCTGGAGCTAGGATGCCCGCACAACAAACTACCCCACCAATCGGAGCTTTCGTATTCTGACTCCACTCAATGGCATCACTCACTCCCTTGGTGATGTCTGTAGTGCATGATATGTCGACCGGGTAGAACCTCACTAGCTCGGATGGAAGATCTTCTTCTGCGGCGTCAATAGGTTCAGCCAGGTCAAACAAAGCAACGCGCGCGCCACTATGAGCCAAAGCCTGTGCTGTCGCCCGGCCTAAGCCGGAAGATCTATATTCAAAGTATGTCAGCTGGGTGGTGCTGACGGGTAAATCTTGTGTCCTACCCCCCGGTGACAATGAAGGTCCTATTTTCAAGCTGCATTTTGCTCGAATGCTCTTTTTGAATGTGTAGTAGGCCTACACTAGTTGCATTGAAATCCACTTTTATAAGTAATTTCTGGTATCTACTCGGGGACCTCTGCCTGGAATAAAATATTACGCCAAGAGAGGTCGGGTGTCGGGTAATTCTTTCGGAAAGTAGACTTTCGCCCTCGAATGGAAAATAGAGATGGGGAATGAGCTTGTAGTCGTAATAGCTAAATAATGGGGAACATAAAGCCGAACAGGTCGAGGGAAATGTATCGCACGTCGACCCGAGCATTCTTTGCTCTTTGTTGGTCTGTTACTTCTTGTAGTAGGCGCGCAGCTTTACCAGCATGAATGCTCGCATGCTCGCCCCCTGGTCCATAGTCGGATTTCACCAGACTCAATTGGCGAAGCTTAGCAATACACCAGGCAACTTTGACCGAGTCGGCGCATTCGGTCGCAAATGTGAACAGAGCCCACATTGCTGCGCTGTTGAGAGGCGACTCATCCCAATCATCAATGTCAGATACGAAGTTTTCGGAAATCACAATTGGCTGGTCGACACTACCACGAAGTTCTGCCCATGTATTATCGGCTGCTGATCTTTCATCTCCTTGTGCTAAATGGTCCCACCATGCAGCTCTGTATAAATAACAAAAATTAGACCAAAAGCATGCCCGAATCACGCAGAGTAATCGAGAAATATCTTTCGCAAGATGTAGTTGTAATGAGTCTTTGAGTTGCTCGAAATCGGAGTTCAAAATTACAGGGCGGCTATTCCAAAGCTGGTGAAGATCGTTGATAATCTGACTGGCGCTGGCAGTGACTTCCACTTCATCTTCGATGGACCCACGAGGCCGACGGTGGCGATCCAACATAGCAATTTTGCGAAGGAACTGCTGTGACAGACGATGGAAAGTGAAGGCATCACGAAGAATGCTTTCCTTTAATGTCGGCAGTGGGCTATTGGAAGGGCACGACGTCAACGGGTCTCGCCGCCTTATCTCTGGTCGTAACCGGTCGGGCGGTGGGGATAAAAGGTCCATTTCCCTTGAACTTTGCTGCAATGGTGACCCCGCATCCGCGACTGGGTGCATCGACGGGTTTGGAGGGCCGCTTATGAAAGGTGATACTGAGGTTGGCCGACGTGTCAAAATGCCGTTTCCTCCGAATATGACAAGTTTCATATCGCAAAGAACTAGCCAATTCAATATTTGCTGTGTTAACAAATCGGCCTCATCTAGATCTTGTATAAGACAATCTGCCCATTTTATTTGATGGGCTCGATGAATATCCTCCTTGTCGATGAGCTACTCCATTTGGGTCAGCCAATGTTCGTCACCGACGACAGATGACTAACCTCGAAGCAAGTGAGAAGAAAGAGTCCAATTAGCAGCTCTCGACGAAGAGATGCAGACGGCTTCACCTTTAGCTGCTCGAGCCCCTCGATAAGCGACTCTCTGGCAAATATATACAGATAATGAGAGAGGTTTTCGCCGTTTCGTAGAGCATGTGGACCTTTGTTGTGTTCTGTAGTTGAGAAAAACTTGTTAAAGTGGAGCTGGGAGAGCGCCACGATTGCGTTTGAGATAGTAGAGCTGCCACGGGCCATAGCCAGAATCTGACAACAGAGATCGTGCCATGAGGTAGTATCCACACTTGATACAGCAGGAACAAACACATGCTCTTGGAAGTATCTTCCCAATGCATCGGAACGACGAGTGATGCTTTCATCCGCTCCAGGGTCGGTAGTTGAACGCGCCGCAAAGAAGATATTCGTGGCCATCCGGTTGAAATTTGGAACTATATCTCGCAAAAGATTGGCATCTTTGCTAGACGAGTTGGAGGTGGGGGCGGATTGGTGGGCATTGCTTTCTTGCTCCTGAAGAGCCTCAGTTACCGAAGGCTCGGTTTCTTTGGGGAGATGGTAGCGAACATTCTCTGCGGTGTGCTTAATTTTCATATTAGCGGAAGAGTCAGCGATAGAATCTTTACCGGGCCTCATACAGGCACGTCATAGGTTGAGTTTGTAACGAAAGGGGCAGCGCCATCATGACGGTCATGCTCCAATGTGATGGCATCCTCCAACGTCGGAATTGCCAGGCCTTGTGGCTCCGGTAGCAAGGTCGATGGGGAACACCATAAATCCAGAGCATTCCGAGAGAAGGCGTCAAAGTCAAAGAACAAAGCAGTTTCTGGGTAAAAGGCAGGGTTGAGGCTCGAGTCAAGATCCATCAACTCGTCAACGTCTCGGTGATTGGTTGAAGTCGGTGACTGATCCACATTCTGCTGACTGGGATGTGTGCCAGGGCTAGTTGGTCTCTCTGTCTGCCAACGCTTCGATGGAACCCGTCGATACACACATTCAGCTCCTAGTCGGGTACAGTTGGCACATACCGGAGTTCCTTCATCGCATCTCACCTTGCGCCTCTTGCAGGTGGTACAGCCGGCTCGTGATCGAGGCCCCGATCGACCCAGGCGTCTTTCTGGTCGGAAGTCGGTAGATGCAGTTGCAGGGGACATTTCAGATTGGGAATGAGAAATACCCGAAAGAATCAGTTTCTCTTATATGGAAGACATGAGCATTGCCGAGGTCTTCGCCCCCACGTCCTTTTGATGCTCATCAGAGCCAAAACGCGGGGTTAATGAGCGTCACCTGATCTGCAGTCTGCTTACAACAAAGACTTGGTCTGCAACTAGTTACAGTGTTCTGGCGAAAAGAAATTATCAAATTATCTCACAATCTAACTTCACGTGGATTTCCCAGAGCTTCGAATGTGTCGGCAGCCCAATTACTAAATGCCTTTCGAGATTTCACGGCCTCGATATCCTGCTTGTTTACTCCCCTTGCCTCCAGAGCTGGGTTATATCCGAGACGTCGTCGTCCGTCAACCTGATCCTGGATTTCAGACGACAAGGGTGCAACTTTGTCATCGGCACGACCTAAAACAGTGACAACTGTAGCACCCCCGAGGCCCATGTTGTGCTGCAGGCAGTATTTGGTCTGCGGTACACAACGGTTTGATGCCCAGCCACGTAGATGCCATACTAAATCTACATTAGCATAATCCCCTATATAAATGGGTTGAATTGAAGGTACCTAACTCGGCCGTTTGAGCAAGGCCTGTCGCTCCCAGCGGATGACCCTTGGAAATCAATCCGCCACTGGGATTGATGATCCATCCTGGAGACGTTCTTTTCGTTTTAGAACTTTGATCATACGTGATGCCTCCACCGGCGACCAGCTTCCACCCTTCGCCGTGTGGAGCTAGGCCCAAGTCTTCGATCGCACACATCTCGTTTGTCGTAAAGCAATCATGCAGCTCAATCACTTGGATATCTTTGGGTGATAGTGAAGCCTGCTTGAAGGCATTCTGGGCAGCACGTCTTGTCATATTGGACCCAATCAGCTCGATGGCGCTCGCGGGCTCATACAAATCCCGAGAGTCAGTTGCAAGGGCTTGGCCCCTAATGGCAATTGCGCTTCCCTTCAGGTAGGGATGAGCTTGCAGGAAACGCTCCGACACTAGGACCGTGGCGGCAGCTCCGGTCTATCATATTAGTACACACTGGTGTATGCAGGCGGGGTTTGATAAGAATATGTACTTACCGAGGATGGACAGCATTGTAGCCGAGTAATCGATCCCGACACCTGTGGACTCGATGAAACTTCCTTGGTCGTCACAGACTGACGCAGCTGACTGTATGGATTGTTCATGCCATGCGTACGGTTAGTGGAGGCAATAGCGGCGAAATGCTCTGCTTTTGCTCCGTTCGACCCGTATTTTTCCAGGTACTCAGCTTGGGCGTTGGCATATAGCTGAGGTGTCCAGCCAGCTGATTCTGCTTGACCTTCGGGAATAAAACGCTTCGAAAGAGCCAGAATTCTTCCCAGGGGATTCTCCCTATCCTTATAAATCTGTGGAAGAGCACCAGGATACATTTTGTCAAATCCCACCACAAGGACACAATCAGCACTGCCGGCCTGAATAAACTGATTGGCCATATACAGGCCCGTACTCCCTGCGCTGCAGTAGTTATGAACATTGTAAATGGGAACTCCAGTCATCCCCAGGGTGTAGAAAACACGCTGTGCGCCAGCAGAGTCACCAAACACATAACACCCAACTCCCTGATCAACATCATCATAGTTGATTCCGGCATCGAGTAAAGCTTTCACACATGCGGATACGGCGAGGTTGAAATAATCTCCCTCGGGATTGGAGGAGGTTGCAGCTGATTTTTTGGGAGACTGAAATGGGGTCATCCCCACACCGACGATGTATACTGGGGAGGCAGTCATATTGATTGATGTACAGGAAAATGAGAAGGAGTGCACAAATTATATCGCAATATGTAGATTAGCGAGCTTCTCCTAGACCCTTTTAAACACGCGAAGTGTACCACTTAATAGTTCCCGAAGAGGTTTACAAGGCCGATTTACGATAGCAACAACTAATTACTTGCCTCCATGTCGGAATGATATTGGAACCGAGCATTGTCGTCACTATCTTCAGTCCTCGAGGATGAGGGTGCTCGGGTATCGGATAAATCTCTTGGCGCTCCAGCATTCTGCTCGGGTATAGCACCCAACAGCAATCTAACTGAAAGCCTCATGAAAGTTTCCATATTCAGTCACCTCGCTCTGATATACTGGCAAGAAGTGTAGTCATTCGTAGCAAGTAAGTTATAGTAGGTCGCAGTCGTGTAAAGAACACAGAAGACAGTATTGGGGCTTCTATAAAGACCCAGTCACCGGGAGTAGTAGAACACTGGAATATGTTTTATCGATTCCGTCATTTTGGCTTAATGATTGCTTTTCAACGGCGTACTCGGATGAAGAGAGGACGAATATACACCGATTCTCCACCGCGATATGATAATGTAAGCCATGGATAAAGTACATATTCTAGCCTAAAAACCCTCCAATTCAGTTGATTCAATATTTCAATCGTGTAAAAATGCTCTCAAATCAGCCTTCTATTGTCTATGGCCCGTCAGCTCCGATCCCGGTGTCAATGACATTTGGGGACCTTCTATCCTACCATGCACAACACAGGCCAGATAACCATGCGATTATATCGCATCATCAAAATATCCGCTTGACCTATAGTCAGCTCGAAGAGCGTAGCACGTCGCTAGCAAAGGCATTCTCCAGCTATAACGTTAGCCGGGGTGATACTGTGGCCATCATGTTGGGCAGTCGAACGGAATACATCGAAGTAAGTAGTACTCCACGAATAAATAGCACCTGAAGTGTACTGACTATCTAGACATTTTTTGCGTGTGCGAAATTAGGTGCATCGCTTGTCCTTCTTAATTTCGCCTTTGTTTTAGAGGAGATCGTTGATACCTTGACTCCAATTGGTAAGGGATTATTTCTCATTCTACTAATTGTCGTAGCTGATGCGGTTCTCAATAGCCCCGAAGCTTCTCGTTATGACACCCAGCTTTGGGAAATTTCAATACGAGAACATTCTATTAAAGCTTTCAAAAATGCTTCCTTCTTTGCAAGCTGTGGTCCTTGTGGATCCGTACAAACTGAAGGCTCAAAGCCTAGGAGATAAAATGGTCTCCTATGAAGTCTTACTCAAGCAAAATTTTGCCACGAGCTTGCCTGGCAATGTTTCGCCTCATGACATTGTCAACATACAATTCACATCTGGCAGCACTGGGACTCCCAAAGCAGCTGCACTTAGCCACTACAACATTATGAATTGTGGCAAGAATATCAGTGCCCAGATGAGCATAAGCGATAAGGACCGAGTCTGTCTTCCTGTGCCTTTGTTCCACAGTTTTGGACTTATCATTGGTAAGCTGCTCATCCTCTGTGAGGGTTCTGATAATGCTAAAATTGCGTGAAGGTATTTGCACCAGCACGTGGAGTGGATCAACCATTGTATTCCCATCGGAAACGTTCGACGCCGATGCGGTGTTGAAATGCATTGAGGGATATAGATGCACTGGCATTTATGGAGTCACCACAATGTTCATCGAGGAGATGAAGAACCCGAAGTTTGCTTGCACCGATCGCTCATCTCTGAAGTTAGACTTCTGTCCAATAACGCTCGTCGACCTTTTAAAACTGACTCGTACTAGATTTGGAATCATGGCAGGATCAGCAATGCCACAGGATTTGCTGGAAAAGGTTGCAACCTCCTTCCCAGTTCCTCGCCTCTACACAAATTGGGGGATGACGGAACTTTCGTCCATTACCACTATGACACACCACAGCGATCCAACCCCCAATCGTCTTCACACAGCCGGTCGCCTTTTCCCGAACTTCATTGGGAAAATCGTGGAGCCTAACACAGGCCGAGTTCTGCCGTGGGGACAGAAGGGAGAGATTGTGATCTCTGGATATGGAGTCATGGGTGGAGGGTATCTTCGAAATCCATCCAAGACCGCAGAAGCGATGAGACAACACGTGGAAGACTTGGAGCCCCATGGAGTCGGACCTGTGGACAGCGAGGGAAATCTTAGAACGTGGATGCACACAGGAGATGAAGGGTATTTTGACAAAGATGGATATTTTGTGATCACTGGACGCATCAAAGACATCATCATTCGCGGAGGAGAGAACATTTCCCCGGTAGAAATCGAAGCACGACTTTCCTCCCACGGGGCGATTGTCCAGGCTTCTGTTGTTGGGGTTCCGAATGCTCGACTTGGAGAAGAAATAGCTGCCTTCGTTGAACTAACCAACGGCCATGCTAAACCTACCGATGAAGAGCTCCAGAAATGGGTGCGAGCAAGTCTCAGTCGCTTCAAAACACCAAAACACTTTTGGTGGATAGGTAGTCCCCAGCATGGCGTTCCCCGAGAATGGCCGAAGACTGCATCTGGAAAGCTTAGAAAACCGGACTTACGGGAAGTCGCGAAAGGTGAGTTAAATTTGTTTCCCTCCGATTTTCCCTAGACAATTACACTGACGGTATCGGGTATGACAGAGTTGTTGGAGGAGGTGCCGGAAAGAGCTCGACTTTAGAGAGTCGGGTCTAATTTTTCCTGTTTCTCCTCTTGAGTTTTTCCATGTCTACCGTGACTCGATCATGCGTCTTCAATATCAAGAGCCCAGAGTGCATGTCACAGCCACTCAGCCACCACCACGCAAATCTTCTGTATGAAGATCCGCCCCACGGGTGTGGATCGCGATCGTCAACTTTAAAGCTTCTTTGTTGTGCCACATCTTGGCGGATTTGGCTGTAGGGGAATAATATTCGTAGGAAAGGCGTCACATTAAGTTGATCGATGAGCCCGGGCAGGGGGGACAGGAGAGATGGCCTCGGCTGGAGAACAAGCTGTTGTGATGGCCTCAGGCCCGAAGCCCTCCACAGTTAACTACCATCTCCTTGTGGTCATACAAGCCTAGCAGGACTTAGCAATAAACAAACCACCATTGAGAATCAAAAATAAGACTGTATCCCTGTAGAAAAATTAATATTATTCTATTATAATTAGGAGAAAAGTTAAAAAGGCAAGCTGTGAGTCTGATTGCCAGTCACATCAAGTCTATATAAATCCCACACCAAGAAACATGGTCATCCATCATCTGGAAACTCTGTCACCAGTGGTAGGTATCGGCTTTGCCAGCCGCAGACACCAACACAGTGCATATTCGAGCGGAAGTAGCAAGATAAGAATTTTGTTGAAGCGGTAGGACAGGGTAACCGTAAAAATCGCCACCACAGCATCGAGCCAGTAGTGATTTGCGGTAGCGACGATGACACTGAGGACCAGAATCGGGTACAATATAGCGAGTGCCAAAAAGCCAAACTCCGTCATGTAGGACTTCTGCGTTGGCCTGCGCTGGAGCCTTTGCAGAAATCCGGAGTGGTGAAGAAAGGTGCACCCGATCACAAAGGCATAGGTAAAGTGCAGGCTGGGCATGGCCGCGAATTGGTTCACGGACTTTCCGCCAACCCAGATGCTTTCGGCATTGCCTTGGCGCACGGTGTCGTAGAAGCCATACGAGTCTGGAAGGAGTCGTGGCGGCATGAGTGGGTAGACACAGAATACCAAGAAAGCGGCGAGATTTCCAAGTGTCATTGTCCGCCGTGCGGTCGCGAAAGACGCATGGTTCTTGGCAACATAATAGTACCAGGAGAGGAATCTGTTCATTTGGTCAACTGACTATTCAAATTGGAACTATATCAAGTGAAGGGTTACTCACAGCACTGTGCCGGGAATGTGTATTAATGAATAAATGCGATTAAAGATAGTCAAGATCGACGGATGATTTTGAATAAAAAAAGATTGGAAATCGGCTTCGTTGATCGGAAATATCCAAGACGCGGTTGTATGTTCAAAGTTGAGAATGTCGATGGCGTGGCCCCGCGCAACCTCGACAACACCTATCTCGGCGGGAGAAAGCCACTGCGCCGTTGCTTTCGTCACAGAATAGAATAGATAGTTCATACTCCAGTAGAACATCTCAACCAAGAAAGGTAGTTTCTGCAGAATTCTACTGTGAATGTGGTGCGCCCAGCGAGAAGAGTCTCCGGTCTTGACATTGATCCCGCATACAGTTTCTGATTTGGGTTGCAGACTGTCGATGGAATAAGCATCGCCCTCCTCCAGAATGGCGTAGCTTCCTAGGTATTGAGATTCATTGGAACTCTTGCTAGAATCCCTGCGACGATTCACAATCAATGACCCAACCATAATACCCACAACGACCTGTTCACGACATTAATACACCTTTAGCGATATACGCAGTATCAAACTTACAATAGGTTCAAGCCATGCGTGTGACGCTAATTGTGGCTTACCCAGATCGGGTGTATCCTGAGTAAAATTGGTGCTGGGCACCATACTTGCAATGGTAGAAGCTTTTCAGAAATATACAAGGTAAAGCCTCCAAAGACGCTAGAGAATAGAACAAAATTGAAGCAAATCAAGATTCAAAAAGAGGAAAAGGGAGACAAGACAGGCTAAATGGATGCTGTCGTGTGCCCTCTAACCACGTTATTCCAATTATGCATAATACAGACGATACAATAATAATATACGAGTACGAACTTCGGACGGCGGAATGATTACGGGACCGAATCCCGAGGCGGGACATAGCAAGGAGATTATATTGGTATTTGCCCTCCTTTAACAGGCCGAGCTCGTTAACGGGAATAAATGCGTTCATTTACAGTTTGTATTTCCATAATGATCTCTCTATAGAACACATTTAGCAGAAACTCAGTCCATTTCTTGGAGAGAAAAAAACCAGAAAATAAAAGCTCTTTTACTGCCAATGACAATTCCAACGCCATGGCTTGGATGGAGTCGTAAGGGAGGCGTTCAGCTAGTCCCGAATAGAACAGACAAGAGTCCCGATTGGCTTCTTCACATTACGTACGTACCTAGGTATGCCTCCTTGATCCAAAGCGGGAACATATCGACCTATCACGACATATTATCCGCTCTATCCAATGATTGTACTCGCACTCACCTGATTACCAGGATATTGTAGGTCCAGCTTTAGATATGAGACACGGACAAACCACTGTCCGAAGTCGAAGCCAATTATTCGTAGGGAGTACATACTGTACAGAAAGGTCTGGATGCATATCTGTAAGGCTGTAAACCTTATCGATCTTGGAATGTGCTTTGTTTGCATTCTAACTCAAAATCCGAGCTTGAAGGGAATCTGTAATTCCAATACTACACTGATTATTTCCATCCTGGGGCAGACCCGGAGCCATACTTTGGAATGTGTGTTTCTAACAATAACAGCCACTTGGAAACTCGACTGATGAGAGGAAAGGCAATGTAAGCTGACAGAGATTTATGGATACATAAGATCATGCCGGTTCCCATGTGGAGTAAATCGAACTCAACCTTGGAAGTTGGGACTAGACGTTGTCTTGAACCTCGGCTTGATTTTTTATGCAAACGTCATCATTGTTGACCTTGCAAATAGCCCCCTAAGTTTCGAAGTTCTATACTAAAAAAAAGAAGAAAAGAAAAACAATGACCTGATTAATACCTGATTAATAGGGGTTCGTGAAAATATGCCCTAAAGCAAGGTTAGTAACCTAGGGTTGGTAGTTTGTTGATGTAGGGTTGAAAGAAGGGTTGAAAATAGGGACGACTAAATGTGGATAAGTCAAGCTCCCCATGGGAACCTGGCGCATCTAGGCTCAGATTTCCTATGGACTGGTCCGTAGATGTGTTAAATCTTGCCTTCAAACTGCTGATCCGCTTGTGGCTTACCGTCCTACCAACTTATGCAGTTCATGGTCATGGATTCATTCCCGAGGTCGATTCCGAGGTCCGGAGGAGCATCCATGGATGTCAACTCCGTAGACGGTGTGTATTCATAATTAATACTCCAAATTCATAATTCAACTTTAATGTGGCAAACTCGAATTTGTGTGCACGTAATCGTCTCCAGCCCGACCCACGTTCACGAGATGGATCCGTTTCACTATACGGAGTATAAATTTTCAGCTTACACAAACTACGAATCTTTGTGGCACGCCTAACTATGCGAAAGGTAAATGGGCATTAAGATTGTATATTTTCTTCACGCTCCAACTGGCCAAAGCGAAAATAAGGTATGTAAAATCATTTATCAGATCTAATTGAGAGCAATCGTTGCTCGTTTGTATACTCAATCATATGGTAAGTGAAGAAAATCCAAAATATTACGACTATGTACCCTTTGTATGGGTGTGGCATATAAAAGATACTCGTGTAAGACAACATGCAAATAAGACAAATAAACTGCGCTTAACCAATCCTTGTCCCTCTGCCACGCGTTTCTGACTCCTTATCATGTTTAAGGTTTTCAATTTATTGCACAATGCCATTGTATGAAGCAAGGCTATTATATAACAATTCAATAAATGACGATTAACTACCCATTTTGAGATGTAGTTAGACATAGTAAGAAATATTTGCCTATTATAAATCAAAAAAGAGCAAAAAAGGGTTAGAACTATCCCGTGACGATCAATGTTATCAAATAAGACATTTGAACCCCTATAGCAATCAATTTCACCCTAACAACCTCTGGCGGGAACGGAAGTTGGTATCCCCGGCCGGGTACGAGTATCCCGAGTAGTTTTCAACATCCGGAGAAACTGACCTGTCCGTGATATTTTACCCTGGATATGGGGTGTTCCGATCGAAATTGCTTTGTTGGAGCTTGTATCTCGAATACATTCTCCTTGGCACCTAGGTCGAGAGAGCCAGTCAGAAAGGGCAAGTCTAGCCCCTAGCATGGGATTTGCTTGGGAGGGCTCAGCCGGTTCGGCTCGCTAGGGAAAGAGATTGAAGTGGAGAAGAGAAAACTATGATAAGCTCGCAACCTTTACCTGCGATGTTATCATATGCAGATCAAGTTCAATGCGCTTTGGACTCAGTTCTCCACGTCTTCTCCCCGTTTCCAAATTATGCCAACAAGAGACGTTGACGAAAAAGACGCTGGCTAAAGGCTGCTTGGGGCCTGAGGCAATAAGGCTAACCATTTTCTAAGAAGCTGACAACCTTGAAGATAACTGCTTAGGTGTGTTTTGGAATCATTGCCTACATGTGAACGGTCTGTGGTTGGAAGTATGCAAACTTATGCTCACAGTCGGAATGATGTCTTTCCATTTTCATAACCACTCCAATCCTAGATATACCCATGCAAGGTGATTCTCAAAACTGATAATACAGACAGAAACGATAACTTTGGCTATTTAATAGGCAGATATAATAATCTTGACGTTGTAGGTGCTCGATTTCACTGTCTGCCGCAGATGTGTAGTTGCCGCAAACCCTACGGAGTACATCGCACCTGCTTTATGCAATGATGCCAATGTTATATACCCGACGCAGGCACCATGACTCTCTCTACAACTAACTAGCCTCAGTCAGCAAGTCATACATTCGCTTCCAGCCCTTCCATCATGAAAAACTGGGACTACGGGAAGCTCGCCATTGCCACTGCCGCAATTCTCGGAGTCCTCACACTCGGCGCACTGATATACTTGCTGCTATGGTACGTTCGACGAGGACTGCGCGCCCGGCGGCTTCGTCGCCAGGAGAAGGAGAATGACCAGTTTGACCAGTCCGCAGTGTCCCTCGCCGAGGACACAAGCAGGACCCTAGATCACTTCCTCATGAAGGATATTCAACCTGAGCGGAGTTCAATCATCTTCAGCAGAAGCCGATCCCCATCCATCAACATCGTCATTGACGACGCGGACGCTAATCGCTGCAAGTCTTCCCCTCAGCCTTATCTCCCAGAACATCACACTGCAGCTTCTTCATCTGCAGTTACCCACGTCCTCTCACAGATCTCGACTCAAAAATCTGGTCCTGATGACCCACGGACTCAGTGGAGCAGCTCGGGACAGCGTTCGTCTAGTACGACGCCGCGGGCATCCACCTCGTCGTCCGTCGTCCCAGCATCGCAATCATCCCAGGTTTGGACTACGACTTCTGGTAGCACACCGTCGGAGCAGACTCAGAGTGTTTCAGCACAGCACTCGTCGACCACGACACCTCGAGCATCCATCTCCTCGTCTGTCGTCCCAACAGCGGGGTCCTCTCAGGTCTGGACCACGACCTCTGCCGAGACTGAGACGTTTTCGCTCCTTAGTCAATCCTCGAACTACTCGCACCACCCTCAAAGCCCCATTGGCCCATCCACCTCCCGCAGCTCACAGATATATACACGTCGTTCGAATGCTTCTGCTGCATCGAGCCGTCCGTCCAGTGGGGGTATCTTGCAGTCTGCATCCCGTATGTTCAATGAAGCAGAGGCTGCTCGGATGGCTTATTCGAGGAATATCGACTCTGTTGGATCAATGAGTCCCACTTCCCCCGTCTCTCCGGTGTTAGTGGATGTTTCAGCTGATAACAAGCTCCCCCAATGGACCTCCGTACCGCCTACCCCCTTTCCTTTCAGTCAGCTCTGATCTTTGATGACACCCAGTGGGCTTTTTGAATTGATATTGCTTATTTGCCGTTGATTCAGACCCGACGAGGACGGATTGAGATGGATTCAGGTTCCATGCATGACTAGGGTTCCATTCCTTCTATTTGCATTCCCTTCAAACCGTTGATGTCTTTGGAAGTCAATGTTGTTAATCAAATTTTCTTTACTGATACCTCTGATCCATTATGTACAGCGTCCGGGTCTTTTTTAGGGCTACAATGTTTACTTTTTATTCATAAAGAAGTGCAGTGATGATGAGTTAGAGATGAACCTAAAAATATATTCCATTGTGAGTAGTTGAACGTGAAAGAATCGAGCAAAATATATAGAACTAACACCCAAGGCCTGGGTTCATGAATTACTTGCGTTGATTTCTTTTGCGCTTTTTAGCGAGGACGAGGCCTTTATTTTTCGTGCGCCAATCCCAGTGGGTACTTCCTCCTTTCATTCGGCGTGTCATGAGTTCCAGTACAGCAATGGAGGATCTGCCTCTAGATAGAAACATTGCTGATACCAGCGACATCGGTAAACTCACGATGTCTGTCCAAAAAAGCTGCTGTTTTGGCATGACGGTCCGCTTTCATTTCCGACGTTCTAGGAACCCGCCAGAACTGAACGCTCATCCCCCTCTCCTCCCACATTTCCACCTCCCCGAGAAGACACTCCCAAAGGTCCCGGTTCCTGATTGGTTCCCCAGCACGTGTAACCCAGCTGTACTGTATCCAATCGTATACCTCTCTCGTGATACCGTCCACTACATATTCCGAGTCTGTCGCAATGATCAAACGACTAAAGCCATCCATAGCCCAGTCTCGATATCTCAGAGCTGCAATGACGGCGCGAATCTGCGCGCGGTCGTTTGTCAGCGTGTGATGTTGGCCAGTGGGCCCTTTGTACTCGAGAGGAAAGCGTGCGTAACCAGATGCAGACTCGTTGTAGACAAAGGAACAACCCGCTCTGGCGTTCGGTCTGCCGTTGTCCATACACGTGCCGTCTGTTAAGATGAGGAATTCATCCTCGACGGATCGGTTGTCGTGATTCAGACGAATGAACCGGTGGACTCGGTCCGTTGCTGTGACTTTGGGGCAATGTGGGAACAATGACTGCGGCGTATCATTTGGATGCGGAGGAGCGAACTCTGTGGGGATGACGCGACCACTACCGACTCTAAGCTCCGTATAGAGTCGAGGGAGCATGTGGGGCGCGAAGTATTGCGCGGGATTCACTTGGTGGAAGGACATGGTGGTTTGGTAGGCCATAGCTTCAAGGTTTAGCATCTGCCGGTGGCCTTAGTATATCAGGCACAAAATGTACCTTCAAATACAGATGAAGGTGTCGGAGTTGGATAATAGGGAGATGACGGGAACACGACAAAATGGTAGCGAGCCTCGCTCCTTCCATACTTGTCCTGGATGCCTCAGGCCGGGATGACAAAAATCAATAATCATTAGTTATATTTCTTGGTGAACTACCAAAAAAATAAGTAAAGGGAATCTCCACGCGCCTCGCTATTCCAGTACTGGACACGCTGCAGAGGTAAAAACCGACAAAGATTAAAAGCACATACAGAAGCAAAGTTCTCGAACACATGTCCGCCATGAGATATACAGGAAATGATAGCTGACACAAAAAGAATGTGGAAGTAAGTCCTTGAGATCTATCCGGATATATCATCTTCATCTTCATGCATTCGTATCGCGCACACTGCGTAGGCACCGTTCAAGCCGTTTGCCACGCTCCTTTTCGCGTACAAGAGTATCCTTGACAAACGATCGGATGGCGTCACGGCCAACCCTTTCCCGCCAGGAGGTCCAGCCAGCGAGTTCGCCCACCACGACATCCTTGTTCCACGAGATCTCTTTCGCCAACCGAGTAGACTCGGATTCGCCCTCACGAACCTTCTGTTCGAGGTCACGGACTGACTTCTGGCGAGACTCTTCGAAGCCTGGCAGGTTTATATTGAATTTGCGGGGGAGGGAAGAGGAGAGGAGCGAGGAGCGAGAGCGAGAGGTATGGCGGTTTGTTGAAGAGAGGGAGGACATGAGGGCCAGTGGACGAGATAGAGATATCAGAATGGCGGCTGTTGTGTTGTCGACTGAGGAAAGAGCTGCCAAATACTGCAGGAGAGGGGAGGAGTCAGATCTAGAGGTCGATAGGTAGGTGGCGTAACGAGCAAAGGCCTCAATGTGAGAGATCGGAAGTGCATTAGTGGGCGCCCGGAGTGTAGAAAGGACAGATGAGCATATCATCACCGCATCAGCGAGATCGGAGGTTGCATTATGCAATGCGTGCCCTCGGCGAATCAGCGAACGCGTATTAACGTGTACACCGCGCACTATGTCCTGGGCGTGAGTGATAAACTGCTCTGTGTCGCGCATGCCCTCCAGTGAGACCGGCGCATATTCGTCCGCGATAGTCTCTGTGAGCACGGCAGCCTTGCGGTACGATCGATCTGCAACCATCTCAGGCTGAAGTTCTGGAACGAGGAAGAACTCCCACAGCATTTCGTGAGTTGAAAAGGTTGGATGAGCGAGGAGCGTCTTAAGGAACCGATCCAGCCTTTCCTGGAGATCATGGAGCACAGACCGTGATGGCTTCGAGTGGATCTGGAATGGATTCCGGAAATCCGAGAGAGATGGCATGTAAGATGCCGGATGCTCCACTGCAAGCCATTTAGCCAAATTCTCAAAGTCGGAGAAATTACGGCGACAGGTCGTAACGGTGTATGTTGTCGATCCGGGTCGCGACGATGCCACGGATTCGGTGGGAGGAAATGGCGCGCCTGATTTGAGAATGAATCGCACGGTTGCGTCCTCGACGAAGTACGATCGCACGACCGTTGTGACCCGACCCGAAGGATCTCCGCAAGCCGATGGAGGATGGGACAACAAGATCAAATCATCGATGCGATTCCGCACCTCATCATCCTTGGCTAATTCCACCGCAGTCAAACCACGGGCTTCTTTAATATGAACGTCGACTCTTGGGTCTAAGAAGAGAATGCGGACTTGATCAACTCGCCCGTACTTGCTGGCCATCATCAACGGTGTAAATCTCTTGTCGTTGGTCGCGTTGGGATCGCAATCGCTGTCCTGCAATATGCGCCTGGTGATATCAGGGTCACCAACAATATGCAGCAGTGTGTTCCCCTTCATATCGACATGATCATCAAGCTGAAGCGGTTTATTGTCGCCCTGTGCCCATTGCGCTGCAGTCAAAGCGGCTTGGACCATTGATTTGTATTCTGGATGATCATACGACCGACAGAGTGCAAAGAGCGGGGTTTGTCCATGTTTGTCTCGTTGTCGCCATGGGATAATGCTGCCAAGTCTCTCTAGTAGCGAGGGTGTGCTGAAAAGATAATGAGCAACGGTGCGACCGTGAACGTCGGATTTGGTCAAATAGGACGCAACCACGCTTATATCTGTCTTTGCAAATAGGAAGTCCAGAAGGATCTTAACTATCTCGGTGTGTGCGAGTTGCACCGCAGCGTTTAATAACGTGGTCCCATCGGTATTGGTGTCTTGAATGATTTCTTCCAAGGGGTAGTATTCTTCTAGAGTCAACAGGTACTTCAAAGCCTCGGTCTGACGGGCCTCTACTGCCATCATCGGTATGGAATGACCAGCAGGATCTTGGGTTTTTGTCAAGGTCTCAATCGAATTGTCACCTTCAATTCCACTGGCCATGGATCCGAGGGTTGCAGTCCTGGAGATGAATGAGACGGCTGATGACTCCGATAGACTGCGAACGTCCATTGAAACCTTCTTAACTGGACGGTGCGGGTGAGATTCTTGTATAATCGAGAGATCATCCCAAGTTTGGAATGGGAAAACATGGGACAGCGGTGGTGCCTCCACAACAGCTTCATCCAGGTATGAGTCGCCATTCGTATGACTCGTGTAAGAGTGATCAAGAGGGAGATCATCTGGCTCGTCAGCTTCATCTGTCTGGAACAGTACAGACTTTCGCCCCGGTTCCGGTGGACTCGTGTCATCTATTGCGCCATGATCCTCGTTCGGTTCCAGTATAGATTTCATATCCGATATTCTGCCCGCTTTTGTTGCTTGCCACAAACGTCTGTTCCGAGCGCTGGCACGACGTAATCCGGCGGAATCGGTGACGAGATACATCAAAACAGCTTCAAATGTACTTAGAGCATACCCCATCTCGCCATTATCAACGTCGTCGATGTAAATAAAATGCTGCATATACAACAGTCGAGCTTGGAGATGCCGTGTTTGAGAACGAATGACAACAATAAGCAACAACGAGACTAAGACATCGGCGTTGATCGTGACAGAGGAAGTTCCCTTCTCAGATGGCGAGCCGTCCAGTTGATCATAACTTCCCGGGAAGGAGATAACCTTGACTGTTCCAAGGAGAGTATTCAGCATATCATGGGGACATCGAGCGTCATTAATCTTCCGAAATTCTTCCACAGCTCGCCCAAGTCGGCGAATCAGTTCTCGCTTCCCTTCACGTCCACCTTCAACAGAGATTCCGACTTGGGATACATCGATGCTCTCCATCTGGCGAATGCGGGAATCCAGCTCTGTGTCCTCTGGTTGGCGGAATGAACACAGACGAGGGAAAAGCAGCGGCTCGTGAACTTGCTCGGCGACATAACGTTCTATCAGCCGCTCCACTAGAGGACCGGTGAGGTCAGTGGTTGCACCAAGCAACGATAATTGCTGCTTGTCAACGAGGCGGAAAAGATCAATGGCAGCAGTCACCGCGGTTTCTAAGCTCCGGCGCATGAGATCTTCGTCGTCCTCGAAGTACTCCTCAGAATTGAATGGCAATCGCCCTCTGCTGCGTGATGACCAGCTGCGGATAGAAGAGCTTTCGTCTGTAAAAGACTCGACGCGGGACAACTTGTGGACACGTTCACTGCCGGATGCAGATGGCGACCGAGAAGGTGGAGGTGGCAATGGTTTACCAAGTTCTTTTCCAAACTCTTTGAATAATCGTTCCAGGCCCGGATGCATCTGTCTCGCAATCATCGGGTAATTGGCTAGCAGTTCCCCGAAAGATTTGATCTCTTGTTTTGGTGGTGTCCCAATTGAATCTCCGTTTCCATACCTCCTATCTGGTGTAGTCTGTCCGACCACGCTGGCGCCGCTTCCAGGGACTACGGCTGGTATGATCTTCGCAGGGTCATATGTTCCGATCAACGGGCGAGAGATGTAGTAAATCAGCCATGGGCGCGATTCGTTGGACGGGTTGTAATATAGCACGTCGGAAAGCAGTTGGGCTTGTGTGAGTGACTTGAATCCTGATAGAGATGATCTCTGTTAGCTAACATATATGGGCGAGTGCATTCACCAGCAAGTGCTCTCACCCTTGTTGCTGTATACTGAGTTGTCCTTGATGATCACCGTCCGGCCATTAAACGTGGTCACCTGCTTTGCTTTGCCTCTGTTTTCTCGCATATTGCTCTCTTCTTTCGAATTCGCAGAGACAGTGTGGATTGGGATGCGGAGCACATGGCTCCCTAAAAATTCCTCTGACGCGCAAAGATCGGAATATAGCAGGTTCGACTCCCGGTCGCGTGAACCGATGAGAGACTCTGTCGTTGGAACTAGCAAGACCTAAGGCGTACACACAAGATCAATTAGCCACTCCGGATGATCCGCCGACATATGCACAGCTTCCACCTACATGATTCTCAACCGGTACACACTGGCCCGGGACAGTGCTTCGAAAGAAGGCACGGAGGAAAGGGTTTAGAGGGTGCATCCAAACGGTTTTGGACGGCCCAGTCGAAAGACTCCAGCAATCATCAAGCCGTCCGTCTCAAATCTCCGAAGCAGGGGATATGTGCGCCGTAAGATTTCGCGGGGAAGGACAGCTCGCATCCAACAGGCAGCGGCGCAGTATGAAGCCAGAGCGGGTCGTTGAATTAAGTGGACAGAGCTGCAAATAAGCTCGAACAAAAGCACAATGCTAGATCGCAGAAAACAAGAAGCCACAAATATAAGAGTTGACGCAGAAGCACATGTGTCGCGGGTAAATCCAGAACGTGATCGACAAGTTGATGGGCGCTATACTGCATTGGGTAATTATTTCATTCAATAAACTGCAACCTCGGGTTCCTCTTGCGTAGCTTCGGAGATTTCCTAATTCCATAAGATATTTCATCATGGCAGAAATCATGCATCGGGTTCAATCTCCATTTACAGAGAGGTGTTGCAAGTGGAGTTTGTGTAGTCCTGTCATGAGATTTCTAATATACAGAGAATAGATGGCGACAAGCATGCCATTAGATAAAAACACAAAAAGCACAGCCGGTCTCTCCACACAATGCAATTCAGTACACTTGTGCTGCACACAAGCAGCCAACCCAAAATAAAAACATAGTCTCTCCTGTGGAGGGAGATCAACCCAGTCTACGCACGTGTCTGCTGCGAGTACCACCGAACTTCAGACGAGTCGAGTCGGTCACTCGCGCAACAAGCCCCCGAATGTGTCGTCCTTCGTGGCCCAGCAGGACCTTTGTAAATGCATCGCGGCCCTTTCCGAACCCACGGTACACGACCTCCAACCGCTCGATCTCCATCAGGAAGCCCTTTTCCTGAATCTGATTCATAACATGAGCAGACAGTTGGTATGCCGGGTCAAAGCCGGAGCGACCAGCTTTACGGAAACCTATTTGACCGCATCCGATAGACATAAGAGGGCTCCCGTTCGGTCGAGTCAAGGTGAGGATTGTGTTGTGCTTGTGGCAGTAGACGTGCAGGTGGTGGGGAGGAGCTCGGTCGGCGTAGGGGTTCTTGACCATGTCGGCTTCGAGGCTTTCAGCCATCCTGGAGTAGTCAGAGCTACCGCGCGAGGATAGGGCTGGCTTCTTGCCCTGCATCATTTGGGTGATTGCAGAAAGCGGCGACGAGGAATCTGAAGGTGACTCGGGTTCTCGCTTCAGAATCTGTTTCTCAATGACGCTACCTTCACTGCGCGCAGAAAACGCCGTGCTTTGGTGGGAGAATAAACGTGTGGTGCTCAAGGAGGAGATTCGCGGGTGAGATTGGCGGCATACTGATGGCAATGCCTTGGTCAACTTGCTCATCGAAAAGGAGCTCATCGTGGTACAGCGACAAAGGACGAATACGAGATGAGGGAAAGAGCGATGGGTTATAGAAAGCCGGATCAATTGAACACCAATCACCAATCCAATGTGTTGAAATGGCCACAAAGCGCGGGTGGTGTAGAGCCGTTGCCGGACCGAAGGGAAACGCTGGAAGTTTTTCGAAGTCTTGGCATCTGCACTTTTTCCCTTCCCGGAGATCTTTACCTCTCTCCCCATCACCTTCTTCATATCGCGTCCAGGCTGGGCTGGAATCCATCTTGCCTCTACCCTCATATTTAATTCTATTTGTTCTCCTATCCCTTCAACGCTCCAGAGGATGATTCCGGCTAGGATGTCTGCGGCACGAGCCGTTTCCTTGCGGTCCCAAGCACCGTCTCTCAGAGTATCATCTCACCGGTTGTCTCGCGCCGGATCATATTCAACCGTCTCAGCTCAAGCATTCGCGCACTCTCTTAAAAGCCACCGTGCTGTCCTACAATCCCCTTCCCACCCCATCCCTCAACTTGTTTCGCCGTTCGCCGCTCTCCCTTTGACGCGGTCTTTCCACGCCGCAACCTCTCTTTGGCAACAGCAGAAGCAACAGGAAAAAAAGCAGGGTGAGGAAGAGAAGGCTGAATCACAGGGCGAGGAGTCTAAGGAAGAGAAAAAAGAGAAGCAGGAAGAGAAGGTTCCGCCACCACCCCACGGAGACAAGTCTCCTTGGCAGGTATTCCGTGAGACTCTGCAGACCGAGTTCAAGGCCTCCAAGGAATGGGAGGAATCTACTAAAGCGCTGGCATCCTCAGCTCACCAATTTACTGAAAATGAGAGCGTCAGGCGTGCGCGCGCTGCTTACGAGGCTGCGTCAAGCGCCACAACCTCTAAAACTTCCACAGCCATTAAGACGACCGGTCAAGTCATTGGAAAGGGAGCTGCTTGGACATGGAACACCAGTGTTGTGAAGGGCGTTCGGAAGGGTGTCAACGCAACCGGAGAGACCCTCGAGAAGGCCACAAGACCTGTTCGAGAAACCGAAGCATACAAGAGTGTGAAGGACGCCATCGATGATGGCAGCAGCTCACGCTACGGTGGTTGGGTCGAGAAGGAGGAACGTCGCAAGCAGCGACAGCGTCGAGAGGAGCAAGAGCTCAAGGCTGGAAAGTCTCTCCACGTTGAGGAGAGAGTTGAAGATCCCAAGTAAGTTTAGATGATGACAAGGGTTCAATCTGGCGTTCCTGACTCATTTATCTCCAGTGCCGGTACCAACGTCACTCTTCACAAAGATTCTGCCTGGAAAGATTCCTGGAGAGACTTCAAGGACTCCAACCCCATGATGCAGAAGCTCTTCTCGATCAAGGAAAACTACAACGAGTCCGAGAACCCCCTGATCAGCACAGCACGCAGCATTTCCGATCGCGTTGCTGGTTTCTTCGCCGAAAACGAGACCGCCATGGTCATCAAGAAGTTCCGGGAGATTGACCCCAACTTCCAGATGGAGCCTTTCTTGCGCGAGATGCGTGACTACATGTTGCCAGAAGTCCTCGACGCTTATGTGAAGGGAGATATTGAGACACTCAAGCTCTGGCTTTCAGATGCTCAGTTCCACGTCTACGCTGCTCTCGCAAAGCAATACACCACTGCCGGACTCAAGTCGGATGGTCGTATTTTAGATATCCGTGGCGTGGATATTTCTCACGCCCGTATCTTGGACCCAGGCGACATTCCTGTGTTCGTCGTTACTTGTCGCACCCAGGAGGTTCACGTTTACCGCAAGATCAAGACGGGTGAACTAGCCGCTGGTACGGATGACAAGGTGCAACTGGTCACCTACGCCATTGGATTGACTCGTATCCCTGATGAAGTCAACAACCCCGAAACTCGGGGCTGGAGATTGATCGAGCTGCAGAAGGCTGCCCGTGACTACATCTAAGGGCGCAATCTGTACCTCTCCATTCTATACTGCCACATTTTTCTCTATCATATTGTCGGCATATTTCTTCGTGGACCTCACCCCTTCTGCATCTTGACCTCCACTCCACCCCCTTTCGACTGTACAATACAACTGTTTGGTATTAAGCCAGGTAGATCCTGGCTCCTATTACGGTTATGCCTGTTCCAGTGACTGCCAATTTGGGCCTTCGCTGGTTAATCGGATTTTTTTTCTTCATGTATTAATGCTTCGTCCGGTCTGACATTTTGCCCAAGTCTTACTTACTCCGAGGACTTACGGCTCAGTCCGCTCAAATCTGAATGTTCCATCTTTCCCATAGACTAGGGTGCGTTGGATTTTATCTGAAGGCATTTCTCTGGGTCTCGAGGTGTTCTGCTGGCGTCTGTGCATTTTATTTTCACTCTCCCCTCGCCACCGTGTATGACTGCATTGGGTTGTTGGTTTTGGTTTCTGTTGGGGCCGTAATCGGTCACCAAGATATGAAAATTCTTGAAAATCGTGTAAATATATAAACAGACATTTCTAGCTTGATGATTTTGATATCTTGTAGTTCTCTCTCGAGTACCAGCTACCCGTAGTACTCCTTCCATGAACGTAAACGAGCTAAAGCCGTCATTTATATAGTGGACCCAACTCTCAATCCGTAATACTGACCAACCCGAATGAATGCCATGCTAAAGTTGTATGTTGGTGAAATAGATTTCCTACGTACCTGTACCCGGGAAATTACTTCAAACCCAGTATAAATGGAGGAATTCTTGAGGATTGCTTTCAATCGACATTTGACCGAAGTAAAAATGGCGGTTGAGGGTGGATCTACGTGGACATGAGCAAGAGAAAAGGAAGTGAGTTTTTTTTTCTTTCTAAAAAAACGCTTTGAAAAGTGAATTTGCTACATGGTATATCAGATTGCGTCTGTCAATTTCTCAATCGTCGGACCGGAAATTTAGTGCGGGCCTTCAGAGCCAGTACCAGCACCGGCACCAGCGCCAGCGCCACCACCACCCATCATATTCCGAGCCCTGTGAGCTAGATGTCAGTAATGTGATTTCAGAAACCCTGGTATTTCATAAACTTACATATTTGCGAGGTTGGGGTCGCTCATCAGGCTGGACATGTCAGGCATGCCGCCACCCTGGCCAAAGCTTTCAGCCATCTGGCGGAGGCGGGGATTGCTCATCAGGTTGCCGAGCATATCGGGGTTGCTCATGAGATTTTGCGCCATGGTGGAGAACATCGGGTTGCTCATCAGGGAACCCAAGTCGGGCATGCCACCAGCACCACCAGCGCCGCCTCCACCAAGCATGCTGGCCAGGGAAGACAGGTCAGGCATGCCACCAGGACCACCACGCGAGGCACCCGGAGCAGTGTCCAGTTCCTCGGACGGGGGCTCGGTGGTTCGGGTGGTCTCCTCAAGCTTCCGTGTCGATGTCTCCAAGCCACGCTTCATGGCCTCACTACCGCCGTTGCCTTCCGCCTCAATGCCCTTCTCATATGCCTCCTTGGCGGCATGGTAGTCTCCCATATCGAAGCGAGCAAGACCCAGACGGCTCCACGCCTTGGAGTATTTGGGATCGGCGGCAGCAGCAACCTCTGCATCACTCGCGGCCTTCTCATGCTGGCCTGAAGCGGAAAATGCGGCGGCGCGGTTGGAGAGATAGATGGGGTTGGCCGGGGCAATCTCGAGAGCCTTGGTGTATTGCTCAATGGCACCGGCGTAGTCCTTCTTAGCCATGAGAGCATTACCCTCGGACTTCAGCTTATCGGATTCCGGTGTGGGCACACCGGCCTTAGGCTTCTCTTCCTGGGAATTTTGAGCTCCTGCGGTCGATTGCGGGGTCGACTTGTTGCGCAACTTTTCGTAGACGTTGTAGATTCCGGCCAACGATTGTCCACCCACAGCATCCTTCACAGCAGCCTCGTCGGTAGGGTCAACTTTGAAGGTATCCGCGATACAAGACTGGGCGATTTCAATAGACTCGGCATCATCGGCGGTGAGGGTACCATCTTTCAGGCTGGAGCCGAGGAAATCGATGATGGCCAAAGCCAAGCGCTTGTTGCTTTCTGTTGGAGCCTATCATGAATCAGTACCATGAAACAACCACCACAGGCGAGAAGCTTACCATTATAGCAATATTTCAATAAATAATGCGAATCAAAGATAAACAGCGTTCAGGAGTGATCAAGATGGAAGAAAAAACAGGCGAGGCAATGCGGGGGGAAAGCTTTTGCACGTGATCGTAGCTTATCGTTTCCCCGGTCTGGTTCCATGCCTGGACTCTATTTCTTAACATTTGAATTTGTGCTTTGGGGGTTCTTGTCTGCTTTGCTGACGGAGAATTGGTTCCTTGGAGATGACTCCATGTGAGCTTCATTATCCATCTTAACCCCTGAAACTGACCTGAGCCATGTACTGGCCTCATGGAGTTCCCAGGGTCTACGCGGTCAATGGACCCGATATTGCCTATACCTCCTCTGATGAGGATCGCGAACTCCTGAATACTTCTTCAACCAATGATGGCAATGCCTTTGACGATGGCGCGGAAATAAGAGAGAGCGACGGTCAACATGAGTCCGCGGAGACCCAGCCCCATGAGTCGCAAACAAAGTCCTCCCTGGACACTGGCAAATCAGAATGGGGAGACGAAGCTATTAGAGGCATTTGTGTTTCTCGGTCTGGGCAGATGTTTGCCACAATGTCAGAGTCATCAATTGCTCTTTGGCAGACACGGGTATGTGCACAATGCCGTTATAGTCCATGGGGGAAGTTTGGGCTGGTGACTGACAATTCTGGCAGCCTACAGCAGTAGTTACAGCAATCTCTCGATCTCAGTTCTCGTTGAAAACATATGGTCCGAATGTTTCACTCCTTATGCACCCAAATTCGACGATCCTGGTTGTACAGACCCTCAACGGGTACCTGCTCACGTACTCGGTGACTTCCGATTCGACAACCCAAGTCTACCAGCAGCGATTCGATCATTCCACAAACCCCCGTCGACAACAATTGGCCCGGTTTTCAGCAGTTGAAGAGGCCAATGTGGTTGGGGACATCAACATTCGT